ATGAAAACGCCTGAGTGGCCGCAATGGAAAGCCGCTATCGAAAAGGAACTCGCTGATCTTCAGGCCAATGGCACATGGGAGGTGGTCACTGTTCCAGTTGGAGCAAAGCTGGTCAGCTCAAAATGGGTATTTCGAATCAAATTTGGAAGCCGGGGTGAGCTAGAGCGGTTTAAGGCTCGCTTAGTTGCTCGTGGGTTTACCCAGCAGTACGGCATTGACTTCGAGGAAACATACTCACCCGTGCTGAAGATCGTAAGCCTGCGCTTTTTAGCAGCTTTAGCATCTCAGTGGCGTCGCAAACTTCGCCAAGGCGACGTGCCTAATGCCTATGTCAAGGCAGACCTGGATCGTCCTATTCTAATGAAGCCACCACGAGGATCACCCGATGCACAGTCTGACAGGACAGCGTGGCTTCTGCTCAAAAGTCTTTATGGCTTGAAGCAAAGCGGCTTACTGTGGAACAAGGAGATAAATTCCTTCCTACTGTCCCTGGGATTTGTTCGCAGCAAACTGGACCCGTGTCTCTACTTTCGCCGTCACGAAGGAAAACTATCAGTTCTCGGACTTTATGTGGACGATGTCGTCGTTGTCAGCCAGGAGGAAGCCGCAAGCGACTGGGTTATGGAGCAACTTCAACTTAAGTTCAACATTAAGGACATGGGTGTGGCGGCAAAATGTCTGGGCATTAGCATTGAACATCGGGTCGACAGCATTATTCTGCATCAGCGTGACAATATTGAAGAATTACTGACGAGCATGGGCATGGCGGATTGCAAGCCAGCACGCACGCCGATGGATGTGACAAAAGCTTTCGACGACGACTTGGCCATGGAGCAAACTGCAGTGATGAGGAAGATCATCGGCTCATTGTTGTGGATTTCCAACTGTACGCGCCCGGACATCACGGCAGCAGTAAATTATTTTGCTCGATTTGTTGCCCGACCTCGTCAGAGCCATTGGCAGGGCGTTAAGCGCGTTCTCCGCTACCTTCGAGGAACTTCAAGCTACGGACTAAAGTTTAAGCTCGGGCAAGGT